GTTTGGCGGGTCCGGGCTGGGGATTCGAACCCGCCACCTTAGGTGTACGTGGCTGGCGCCTTAGCCGATTGAGCTATAGGCGCCGAGCCAAGAAAATTTTTAAATAAAAAAAATAGTGCTTATTAAATGAGGTTTAGTAGACAAAGAAGTGTTTAAAACACAGAGGAAAAGGATACAAATAACAATAAATTGGTAAGGGAAGAATTGGGAACCACTGTTTGGGAACTTACATGAGTCTTAAAGAATTATCTAATGATTCAAAAATACTAATTAGATTCTACACTGAGATACAGCCACCTGCTGCTCAGGAAGAGCTCTAAATGCCTGAGGAATCCTTAAAGATGATACAATTTCAGAATAAGAGAAGACTTTAGAGGTTAGTTGTATGTGGTTGATTGACTTTGGTTTGAATAGCTATTACTTTAGAAATTTAATTCCTCCCCTTCCTAACTCTGAAATTATGTATTACAGGGAAGGCAGCACAGTAAGAGCAGGAGGAAATGATACTGGTCTGTGGTATAGTGGAATATTTTCATATGCTGTGGTGGTGTTCCCTTTAGATAGATAGTGATAAAACTATTTAAGGGTCATTTAGCATCCATCTGTTACACTTTTAAAGAAGATTTCTGTTTCAAACAGATTTTTGAGAATTATGCTTCGAGTTCATGCCCAGACTGTCTGAAAATGTCTGTGTAGCTCCCCAAAAGTTGTCTGATGTCCTTCAATTTAAAATCCCCAAGAGAAAAAGAAAGAAAAGCTTTCAAAACTCAATCAGTTTTACTGTAGGTGTCTTCGTTGGCTTAATGAGAAAAATCAAATGTATAATTCATTATCCAGGTAATTGGAATTACGAGGTTGTTCCGGGTACTTTTAGAATAAAAGGTATTAATTTTGTTTATTGAAGTAGAAATTAAAACACAGTTCCAAGTGTCTTCTCATTCATTCATATGTTGGATTTTTTCATTGCCCATTTGAAGAGCACCTAGCCTCTGAAAAATTAGTATTATGAAAAAGAAAAGTTGTACTGGGTGGCGCCTGTGGCTGAAAGGAGTAGGGCACCAGCCTCATATACCAGCAGGTTCAAACCTGGACCCAGCCAAAAACTGGGAAAAAAAAAAAAAAAAAAAAAAAAAGTTGTACTGGAAGGAAAGCTTCCATGGCACTTTATTAAAAGCATAAAGTATCTCCCTAGAAGAAAATGCAAGTTGAAGGGTGTTCCCATGAAGGTCCTGACAGCTGGCCTGTTCTTTCAGCGTCCACAGATGACAGTGCAGCCGAGAAGAAAGGGGGATCCCTCCACGCTGGCCTCATCGTCGGGATTCTCATCCTGGTCCTCATCATAGCCGCAGCCATCCTTGTGACAGTCTATATGTATCACCACCCAACGTCGGCAGCCAGCATCTTCTTCATCGAGGTAGGCACCCCACCACACTAGTCGGTGAACCATGTCCATCTGCTAACTCGGCCTGCCTTTAATATTTAGCACGTGATTTCTCCATCTTCCCAGATACAGGCTGGTTGATTTCACACACGTACACAGTGACAGATTGCTTTCAACGTGTTCAGGTACCTTATCTCAGGAGCTTTTAATGAAATAAACTATCTCGCCTTTTACAGAAGATCTAAAGGAAAATAGGAACCATACTTTTTTATTCTTTTGAACCTAGTGTGTTAACCAGCTGTTCTCCTGATCCTGGGAGGAAATGCAGCATGTCCAGGCCAAAGACTTCATTTAAATCAATTGTTCTGCAAACACCAATTAAATATTGGCTGTGGGCATGATGCAGTATGCCTGCTATCAAAATGCTCGTGAACTACTTAGAAAACAATTGGTCTTTACTACAAAATGACAGATAAAGAAGATAATGGTATTGTGCTTTTGCCATTTTGTCTAACGTGTATATACACATTTGAAAATGCTTATAAATGTGTGCGCACGCACATACAGAGTACTGTGCTGAATCATGGCTGCTGTGGTTTCACCCACAGAATGTAGATTTAGAACCCATGACCAAGAGGAAAATAGGTGGGAGGATAAAGGGCTTTGTAGAAGGAGCCAGAGCGAAGTCCTGGAGTCTAGAAAGCAGAGACAGTGAAAGCTGGAGCCCAGTGGTTCTGGTCAATCTGACCTAGTCGTCTTCTCACCACGGGAAGGTAGGATTTCCTGGGCTCCTGTGCGTGTCCCTGTCACTCTGGCATCTTACTGGGGCCACTCCTGTTCTAACACCAGATTATACCGGAAGTCCTAGAGTCCTAAAGGAAATCCCTCGCAGAATTTCAGAAATGTAAGCGTTTAATTCTAACTCACTGTGTGACACACAAAAAGTTGTCTAGAATTTTGTTTCCTTGTTGGGTGTGAAATTATAATGCCTTTTACACCACAGAGATAAAATGATGTTTGCCCCCTAGAGTAGGGAGGGGGAAATGCAAATCAATTAAATAATTGCTTAGAAGTCCTAGATGGCTCACAACTGTCCATAAAATAAAGTACAGGCTTTGGTAGACTGGCTCCTATGTGTCACTTCAGTCTTTACTCTGTGGCTCCCCAGTGTGGAATTGGCACTGTTGTCAAATTTCACTCTCTTCTCTTCTCGGTTACACACCACCAGTTCTCCATGCCATAAAGACATTGCTCATTCTATTCCTCCACCAAGAAAGTCTTCCCATCCCACCTCAGTTCTTCAATTCCATGTACCTTCTTTGGACTGTCCCCCCGTTTGGGCAGCTGAAAATAATCTCTCTTTCTCCTCTGCAACTCCACCTGCAGTAATCCCTATCTCTGGAATTTACCTCTCTGTTTTGCCTTAGAATTAAACATGGGCACCATTTAGTCCAGCCTACAAGACTTAGTAACTCCTTAAGACTTAGATTAAATAACTTCAGTTTCTTTCAGAAAATAGGTCATCTACCAAGATTTCCTAGAAAAAAAAATCCATACTAAATATCCTAGGACATTTCAAACTTCCAGCGAAATCTCACACGAGATACATTCCGGAAATAGCACCCTATCATAGTCACTGAGAAATTGCCAGGCATCTCATTCTGTTAGGAAACTGTTAGTAAGGGTTGTTAATGTGATGGATTTTCTTGGGAGAAAGTAGACAACTTTCCCGAAGTTACAAATGCATCCCTCAAAGAGCTGATGAGTGATAAGCTGAAAGCCTCAGGGACTAAGCAGACATCAGGCTGTGGCTGTGGCTGCAACCCATCACATGTTTAAGCGTTTTCATATGCTCTGCAGTTTATTTCCTAACAGAGAGAGAAACAAGATACTGTGAAATATCTGATGGGGACGGTATTTGCAGCAAATTGCACAGTACATAGAATCTAGGTAAAGATAGTTGCCAGCAATCCCTAAGTGATTACAAAGCAAGACTGCAAGAGAGTGGGACTATTTCTGTTGTTGTTTTGAATCAGTCTCACTGTCATATAAGCAGAGCCTCTATGTCCACAGGTGTGTGGAAGGTGTTTGCACAAATACAACCATATTTATAGAATATTAGAGCTAGAAGGAATCTTTGAGATGGTTAGTCCTATACCTTCACAACACAAAGGGAGAGATGGGCTCAGAGGGACGGAACAACTTACCCCAGGTCAAAGAGCCACAGTTCTAGGGATAGCTCCGTCACTTTTTCCCACTTAAGTGCAGCAGAGGCATTCAGCAGCCTCCCCAGCTTTTCTCTTCCCTGCCTTTCTCCTTCCCTTTCTTTGTAGCCACCACCAGTGTCTGATTAAATCACTCCCTGTCTGGCACCCTGCCGTGGTCATGCGGTTCCCAGCAGCTGGTCAGCGGATGATTTTTGGAAGGCAATAATCATAACTTGACTATTATTAAAGCTCACCAATGTTTGCAAATTCAAAACATAGTCCATGATGACCACACAGTTTGTGCCATGCCAGACCTCCAAATTAGAAGATTTTGAATTATTGATTAAATTAGAATGTTGTTGCATAAATTGATGGAATACATCTATATTGTTTCTGTTGCTTTGTGATGTTTCATGTTATACTCTTATCTACCTTTAAAATGAAATTCATGGGCGGGGCCTGTGGCTCGGTGAGTAGGGCACCAGTCCCTCGGTGAGTAGGGCACCAGGTTTGAACCTGGCCCCAGCCAAAACTACAACAAAAAATAGCCAGGCATTGTGGTGGGCACCTGTATTCCCACCTACTTAGGAGGCTGAGGCAAGAGAATCACTTAAGCCCAAGAGTTGGAGATTGCTGTGAGCTTTGATGCTACGGTACTCTACTGAGTCTAACAGAGTAAGACTCTGTCTCTGAAAAAATAATGAAATTCGTGTGCTTTTTTTAATAGGAAAATGACATCATTCATTATAGAAAAATTGAGACACGGTAGAAATATAAAAACTGGCATTTGCCCATTGAACACACTTGTGATTTCACCATAATGCAAATTGATAGTCTTTCTAAGAAAACAACATTTCTCCATTTGATTATAAACTGCTTGCAGAAATGATTTTAATGTTTGTATACTATTCCATTGAAGATTCATTCCATAGCGTTTAGTGGTTTCTTCTCAAGGAGTCAGAGGGTAAACCAGAAACACTGAAAGCCTAACACATATCTTGAAGTCAAGAAGAACTTCATTTCACCCAAATAAAGACTGTCTCTGTGTTAATTTGCTGCTGTAACAAATTGCCACAAAGCTTGCCAGAAGATAAAAAAAATTGAAAAATTGCCCTCAAGTATAAAATACATCCCAGTTTCAGTGATACTGAAATATGACCAAATGGGTATTTTGTATATTTCACAGTGAAATCCAGAATGCACTGAACTCTATGGCAAACTAGTTTCTGTTAAACGCTGTGTATTCTGTGATAAAATTTAATGACTCTGCCCCTGAGTAGAATCCCAGAGCTCTTGCAGCCCATCTCCTCTTGTGGAGCATTGGGGCTCTTCCTATTTTTTTTTTCTCATTTTAATTTTTGAACATATAGCTAGTAACAGCTGATATTTATTAAATTCATTACTGGAAGTGATTTATACATACTACCTCACTTAATACTCATGAGAACCCTATATGAGACACTAAGATTATCTCCATCTCATGGAATCAAAACACAACTCGGTTAACAGCTATTGAGGTAGGTCAGTAGCAGGCCAGGATTTGAACCCAGGCTCTCTCCAACTTCAGAAGCCATAACCTTAACTGCTGGGCCATGCCGCCTCTCTGTGTATAAAAAGGTTTTTGTTCATAACTATATGTGGAAACACAGAGTGATGTATCGCCAAGGACATACATTATGTCCTCCTTTAAACAGACTTCCAAAGTAGAATCAAAAGAACAAAACAGTTTAAAAGAACTTAGTAAATACTGCCAAAATCATCACACCAGTTCAGGTAACTGTTGTCATTGTCTATTTTTAGTGATGATAATGACAGAGGCCGTTACCTGTGCATTTTGTTCTTGGAGAAAATATACACCAGTTATTACACATTTCGTGGACACAAACACTTTCCCTCATATGAAATGTTTACATGGGCTTTAGCTTGTTTGTAAGACGGAAATGCAAAAATAAAAGCACGTCATCACCCCCTCAACTGCGTGATTAAACAAGTGAATAACTGCTTATATCCTGCGTCTGCTTACACAGCATCAGGTACAAGAGTTCCATTCTCTTAAAACATCCAGTCGCCATTTGATCAAGCAGAAAAGTCTATTTTTTACTGTTATCTTGTGTTTATCCATCATCCCCCTCAGATCTGAGACTGAGTATTTTCTTTGGCTTTTTACTAGCTAGCTTGCATTTTGAGTTTGTCTGTCTAGCTTTTCAAAGTAAATTTCAAAAGGATAGCTGATGATAGGCAGGTACAAAGAAATGTAAAGACTGTTGGAATCCAAGAAGCAGGAGAGGGAGGGAGGGGTAAAAACTCACTTATAGGGTCCAGTGAATGCAATTTTGGCGATGGACACACTAAAAGTCCCAACTTTAACCTTACACAAGGTATTCACATCACAAAAACATTTATACCCCCCTAAGATTTAGAAATGAAATACAAAGGACATCTGATTTTGACTGAAATCCATCACAATTTATAAGAATGCTTAGATAGGCTTAAAATCTTTTCAAACTAAAATTATCTTGAAATACATGGTAGAGAATGAATATTAAAGTATATGTTCTGTAATCTTTAATAAATTTTGATAAAATGAGTATCTCTTCATAAGGGTCAACGTTTGTTGCATTCTACATTAAATTTAATGGTGAACATTTCTAGGGAAAGATTCTGTGACTCACAATAAATTTTGTTGGTGCATAAATTTAGCTAGGTCACTGAGATAAATGTTTGTACTACTGAACACCATTCTTCATATATCAAAGAGTTTTAAATAAAATATGATCTAAGTGAAGGTCAAGAAAATAATTATAAGGCAGTCATCATATGAAATCA